AACGGTTGATTGTTCACAAGTACCTTCGCATGCCAACTATATGTCATATTGCAAGGAACAAATATTCAGGTCTATATTCTGGTTCGTTGGTCCGTCATCAAGTATAATTCAGCGGACACTGAGGACCTCAAGCCCGGCTGAGTGTCGTTTAAATTTGCGGTCGAAGAGGAAGCAGCTGTTGCAGGATCAGCGGGATTCTGAAGATTGTGGACAATCCCGTTTAAGATGACCAGTCTGCTTGCAATTAAAAACATGCCTTGCAATCCTGCCCCAGTGACCATGTTTACCACAACGAGGAACGGGTTGCGTGGTAAACACCATCAAAATTGCGAATTGTTGGCACGCGGTTTAACATATCCTATAACTCATCCAGTTTCTGTACAAGTAACTTGATACTGTCTTCAAGAGAAAAGTCGCTTTGCTGATTAACTACATTACCAGTATTGCTCTGTTTCACTGCTGCAATGCGCGGTTTAAACATGTTCTTTCCCTCGGAGTGGTTATTATCAACAGAGTGATACAGTGTCGCAAGAGACAAAGCCTTTTCGAAAGTATCAAGGCTGTTGCATGGTAACATGCTTGATCATGCTTTCATCGGTTAGACCGGCAAGAAATTGCGATTTCAAAATATCATCTTGACCAGTAATATCCAGATTTGGGTAGGCAAGAATAACAAGCTCTTTCAACTTATTACCGTAATCCCGTGGCGCTTCATTTGGCTTAATCCTACGAAGTGAAATGTAGTACGGTAGGAGCTCTCATTTCCGGCAGGTTTAAAGAAATGATTGAAATGAGCCACAATATCACGATAGCTAGTACGTTTCATATCTGGTAAATCTTTCAACACATTTAGAGCTTGACCTGTCATGCAAGTAGCCAATTCTAAACCTGCAGTGTCGTCATCCCACTGATTATAACTGGTAACCAATTCAAAATGGCATAAATAACTGGGCCACGTCATGACAGTGGATCCATCGAAATACATTGGCTTTTTGGCATTTCTTGCCATCATCGTAGCATTAGCTGTGTTATTGAGAAGACTACGACTAACATTGGCATTTGAGACACTACTAGCGCTCACTGGAGGAGCTGATTGTGTAGCCACTGTAACCATTTTCGGCCTAGTACTAAGTTGCCTTCTGACATTTGTGCCCTCATTACCATTATCATTCAAAAAAGGAATTGTAGGTGCAAGGTTACTCACATGACCATTCTCCAAAAATTTCACTTCTAATGTCTGTGAGAACGCGTTCCGCTTCCCTTCTGGCTGTCCATCTTCTGATCCAAAATCAGAAAATTTCATCATGCTTGAGAACAGGTGCTGCTTTGGAACAACTGTTGCTGGTGTTGAAGTTATCAGGCTGACATTTGGGTCATGTGACATGGGCTGGGTTTCCTCAGGATCAGCAATTTTTCTTTTATTAACCACGCCAGAAATATCTTGCAGAATGCTGTACATCTGCTCAAACGACGAGCCCATTTTTGTATTTTGGAATTCAACTGATTCTAGTTGACTTCCAATCTGTTGTACACAACCGTCCATCTGTTGCATGCGACTGTCTATCAGTTGCAACCGACTGTCAGTCTCCTCTTGCTTTTCCAACATTTCCTCTTGTTTTTCTTCTGATTCCTTCAGTTTTGCCTTTAGTATCTGTATTTGCAGATGCAAAAGTTCATTCTCCTCTTTGGCTTCCTTTGGTGCCGGTACAATCTTTCTTCTCTTAACCATTTTTCCAAGATATCAGGCAACCGCAATTAAAAAAAAATTCGGCAACCTCAAATGTCCGGATATTATCCGTCACAGACTAGCCTACTTAATCGGCTTAGTCTTAATAGTCCCTGTGTCAAATAATATATCCTGGCGTGTGCTCGCCAAAAATTCGTATATGTGGCGTACCAAAATTGATATCACCACTCAGGTTCTTTCTGCCAGCTTATCGGACACTGAAGTTGCAATAGATGTCGTTCACAAAACAATCTTCTTGCGGTTCCAATTACAGCAGAGTAACTAAGTTAACTAACTAGATTAATTATACACCTGTAAGAACTTAATACAACCAAATACTCCAATACGAAATACAATGAACAAATAAAAACACAGTACAAATACCGTAGGATACATACGTAGCACAAGATACGGAATTGGTCTATGACGTCACAGTCATGACCTATTTACTTATAATGGGATACAAAAACCGGGTAAAACATACCTAGATATACATAAGAATAACTAGTATGACACTAAAGATACAACACAAATCCTATCTTATCGACAAACAAGTAATATACATAGAAATACGCATAGAAATATGGAAATCACACAGGAAATAAACTGCGAAAATAGACTAGTTACGGAAGTGTTAAATACAAGCTAACTAGTGAACAGAGCTATGCCAAACTGGAGAGATAGTAAACCTGTACTACTAATATCATTTCACAACAAGAATTACACAGATTAACGCCACGAAAACACTATAATAATAACCCAAAACACAGAGAAATATCTACACTGCCGGCAGTCTGACAAACCAGCTGAAAGAGAAAGTTACACAGCTGTTCACTAGTGACTCAAGTGGTAAGAATAAATATGGGCATACAGAATAAAACAGAGTTATAGACGTGGTCGTCTCACTGGGAATGAAAACAATTTATACGACACACTATATATACTTTTAGATTTAATGTCGTGGCCGCCCAGACTATCTCAATAAAGTTGAAATATACGATAAAAATACTGAAATATTTTTACTCAAAACGTCCCCGACGTGTTATAAGTACTCCAAGTCGGCGCTGATTTAAATCCTCTCGTGTCGTCTGTAATTTAATGTGGCGCGAATGTCTACAAATACGATAAAACATAAAATAGTTGTGGAATACTTTCAATCAAAACATGGACGGGTGGCGCTGGGATGTGCACCCGCCATTCGATATTCCTAAAAACACTAAAAACGATATTCGGAGGTTGCGATATATAAAATCCGACATTCCAGGCTACGCTATTGCTTATAATACGATTATAAATAGTTACTTTGTCGAAATTAATCTTCACATTCCTTAGAACGTCTCGGGCGCAATTCACGCGCCTCGCCTAGATTCAGACATGAAATAAATAGTGTTCACACATGTTCTTAAGTCTCAACCTATGTGCCTACAGGCCTACATGCGGTGGTTCCCAATCGCCGGTCCGCATAGGATTTTTACCAGTCCGCGGGAAATCCCGTCGTTTTGTTGTTTCTCTGCCGTCTCAATCGCTTTGCCGATGCCGAAAGACGAAGTTGCGTTGGTTCATTACGCAATTTCTCTTCCGTTGTCATATTGCTGTTTGATAAACGCGACGTACTGGCTGGTTCGGCGTTTCTAAATTTACAAAAACGGTGTTGACACGCGTTATGCAAAATTAGGAATTGAAAAATATGATGCAAAAAGCCAAAGAAATGTTTTTTTTTCACAATTATCGTTGCTACCCGTTAGCGATAGCCGTCGATAAATTCTTACCCGTAATTCGTTGTAAATGAATGCTAATAAATTCTATTTTGCTTTTCAATACGCTGTGATTTGTATTAATAAAAGTGATTGAGTCGGGAAAGGAAAGTCCCCTTCCCTCCTTCTGAGCGTCCATAACGGCGGTAAAATTCGTTTCGTTTCGCGCCGAATAAAAAAGATACCATATCCATATCGTGGAAGGAAAGGGAGAAAAACGGCTGCGAATACGGGAACTCTAACTTCTACTTATCAAACTTTCATTTTTTACAATCGACAGAAATGACTTCTTTGAAGAGGGCTCGTTTCAATCGCGATAGCGCGCGACTAATAATTACGACTTTACGTAATTCGTAACTTCCCTTCCGTAACTCGAAATAATTCCGTAAATTACGTGCAAGCCTAGGTTGAAGGAGCCATCGCAATTTCAAGTTTGATAAGGAGTAAAGCAATAATGTGTTAATAAATCGATATCATTTGCTATATAATAGCAACATGTTAGTTGAAAAATCTGAAAATTTCTGGTAGTAAAAAAAAATTGAGCAAAACCACTTAATCGATGTTGTAACAACGCCTCTGAGTCATTCGAATGCTATACTATTTTTTAAATAGAATCACGCTTTATTTTCTAAAATTGCTTCGAATTGACCTTGATTCGAAATTTTGAAACTTACATCCCTATTACTGACATTTACTTGGATAACGTGTTCACCATTCGAACTATCCATGGCGACAAGTCCTCTACTCCATCTGGTAGAGGAATCCGTCAACGATGTCCTCCCTCGATAATCATTTCCAATATGGTGATGGAAATCCTTCTTCGAGGTGTCAAGGGTTTGTCGGTTACCTGTTACGATGTGCGTCGGATGTGACCGCTAACGGCCAGGGATACGCAGATCTTTCTGCTCTGTGCGCTTCGTCGCGACAACAGTCGTAACTTAATATGTGAAGAATTTGAAAAATCCGATTTTGCTCAGTGCTAAACTATAGGATGATTTTAGGTAGATTTTAAGCCTAAATTGAAAAATAGACATATAGCATGCAAAGCCACGGAAACAGGCTAACGTTTACCACCATGACCGAATGTCTGTCTAGTCTAGTTGAAACATGCATCTCAGCGCCGCTGAAATTTTTCTGATCTGCCAATGAAACTTACAAGTCGATGCTCGATGCAATTTTTTCGTTCGTGATCAGCAGAATGTGCATCTCATTACAACGACGCTCGCAAACACAAGCAGCAGATGCTGGTCCCAACTAAATATGGGAAAGGTCCGAATTCTGACCGCCAGCTGGGTAGCTCAGATCTGGGGTAGGCTATAACCTTTTTCGAAACGGCATCACACAGAGCTTTACTACATAGACACAGGTCATATCATATAAGACGAAGATAGAAGAGCAGTTTTGCAACTTATATTGATTTCAATCGTGATAGATCCCGAAGATACGGCGAGTTCAGAACTATCATTCTACATCTATACAGCTCGACTCTGAATCTCAATTATCAAGAAAAACTGCACTTATAAATAACGAACACCTTAAAAATTATATTCTTAAACATGAATAATTAAACAGCATAATCATGCAAAAACTTTTTCACAAATGAGTCAATGTCTCCAGATAAGAAATTAGCCTTGTTTTTAAGGGTCTTGATTTTTGATTGAATCTCAGAGAGGCGACTACTTTTATCTTGCATTTCCTCGGAATCTGATTTCAATTCTTTGGAAATCTCATCAACTTTGTGGCAGATTTGTGCGAAAGTGGTTGAAAGTTCTTGTTGCACCTGAAACAAATATACAAATATGTATATTTCTTGTATACTTGCGAGAAACTTGTAGGGTCGCTAAAGGGAAGTGCGTCTCATGAAGTTTAAGAGCCTGTGTGAATTGGCAAATTACAGATTAAGAATCTGAAAAGTGGGTTGATTCAATACAGATTTCAGTTCAAATCTTCCTTTCTGCATCATATTATTAAAAACCATCATGTCTATGTAAAAACTCAGGCTTACCTGATGTGAACAATTCGAACTTGTAAAGGTTGTGATTAAGTTGAGTTTTTCAGTCGCATGTTCAACAAATTGACGTTTTAACGCATGTTCTTGTGCCCTGGAAGTCCATGTTAATCTTTCATACAAATACAGTGATCCATATGATGCAACAGTAAATACAATAGCTTTCCATCCAATAGTTCTCCACAAAGCATAGGGAACCATTACTGAAACAAATAATACAAAAATTACATTCAAGTATATTCATAAACGTCAATCTAGATGTCGAGAGTTTCAAAATCCTTTCCTATTGGGGATTGTTTGGATTACATGAATAATATCATTAAACTTGATAATAATGGAATGAATATTTTGAGTCTCACTTCACAACTTAAACAAGAGGTTTTGCTGAAAATAGTAATAGGTCAAATTTGCTACAGAAATATTTCTTTTTAAAAAAAAAAAACTTATTGATACTTACTGATTCCTACGAGCATTCCAGCTGATTGACTATTATTATGCTTCAAATAACTTGCAGCGACTGATGTCAAAATGTCTTGCAAAGATAAACTATCATCTGCTTGTTGTCGCTGGTGAGCAATGACCTCTCCTAAAATGATCAGTGATCGAACATAATTCGTTCCGGATTGGTGTTTGACTACCGATTTGTTCAAGTAGAGAACTTTTGGCCATAGGAAACAACAGCAAATATATTCGGCAAATATAAGAACCCATTATAAAGCAGTATTCCGTTTATCTATAGTCAAATCCTGAAGCTTAAAACAAACATATTGTACATGAAGAACATAAACTTTTATTTAATTTACCTGTTCCAGATATTGGTCTTGGAACTTCTGAAGGAGCTATTGCTTTTCGTGAACCAATAAATCTGTTGAACAAAAGGGATTCATGGTGGTTACAATAAGAAAACACAATGAGTATCGAGAAATATTGCAAAAAATAATAATGGAAACAAGTTCAACCTGCAAGAAGCCCTCTTTGTTTGAATATTCATTCAATAGTAAACACCCGGAGTTCCATGTATGGAGTATTGTCAGGTGTTGAATAAATGACAGTGTAAGATCAATTACTATTAACTAAAAGCTATTTGCAAAATCAAACAAATGAATAACTGAAACGAAATGTTCCGACGGACTGCTATAGACTATAAAAATTTTTTAACATATCCAAAAATTTTTTTTCTAAATATTAGTAGGAAAACTAATATGAAAAGTAATAGTATTCAATTATTAAAGAAAAGCTGATCAAGTTGTGGCCATCATTAAAGCAGTTTTTATGAAACAATGCAGAATATTTAAGGATATGAATAGGAAAATAATTTCAACAAAAGGCTGAATAAAAATAAATCTACCTTCCCATCAGACATTTGAAACCAAGAGAAAATTTGAACTCTATATCTTCCTGAAAATCTTGACACAAACTTGCACAATTGATATCATATGACATATCAAAAGCTGAATTCTGTGCTTGAGATACCAAAACCGGTTCTGAAGAATAAGAATGACATAATGTTGCATAGTTTATAAATCGCAAAAGCAAATTAATTTTTGACATTATATTATATAGACTTTTGACTCAATTGTGTATGGGCGTGCTTTGGCCAATAGAAACAGAGATAGTTCAGAAAGTTTTTAATATGAATTGTATTATGATGAGATTTGAAAAAATTACCTTGTTCACTATTATTACTGCATTCAAATAATGGTTGAGCTTCATCCAACATCAATTGTTTACTTTTGTTTATTTGTTTTTGCAAAGAAGATGAACATCTTGCCGATAGATTTCTTCCAAGAACTGAAAAAAAAAAAATTAAAAATCAAACTAAAATGGAAATCTACCAAATAGTATAATAAAGGCAGTGGTTCTTAATCATTTTCGAAATACTCCATCCTTTGCCTATTTTGAATCTATTTATTCCTCCTTCACAGTGCATAAAAATTCTGTTTCTGTTTAGTTATTTTACGACCTGTGGTACGTGTAATTTATTTAAAGAATAGGTAATTCAGTGGTGGCGAAGATTAAAGCCTTCCAGCTCTGACGGTAGACGACGCAAATTCTCTCGCGATTCTGCACGCCAAAATACGTTGTTACTGCATATAATTGATACGCTGAAACTTTGCCTGAAAGGCCAAAAATGGATGTAGTGATACATAAAATAGGGGGATCCTTGGGCCATTGTTCCCCACCCCAAAAGGGGGCTTTGTTGGTAGTACATGGGTAAAAAATACAAAGTGGTATGCAGTCAGTAAAAGGTTGAGAACCACTGGTATAACGTAAACTTTTTAGATTTCTACCTTCCTCAACATGTCGATACAATTCCGCTTTATAAACTTGTAGAACCATCATATTCTGATGGAATGGTTGATCAAACTCATCAACAAGTAATGACAATCTTCTTATTTCATCAGACATTGCTTGACGAACTTGAAATTCTGTTTCGCTGACCAATCGTGTAATCGCTTCTTTAGCTTGTGCAGTGAGTAACTTTAATCGCTTCTCTGAAAAAAGTAATGAAAAATATCTAAGGATTTTCGTTAGCTTAACATGATTTTTTTGAACAAAATCTGCATATTTGCTTGGCCAATTTTATGTACTCGAACATTTCGAATAAAAGAGTCACAGTCTCACAGAGACAAAACAACACACCTCTGTTGCTCACTGAAAGCTCAAAACTGTCATTTGAAAAAGGGAGCTTTTGGAATAATGATGGTTGGAACCCATAAATAAACCCACAAAACTAAAAACTTTAAATCACAGCAGGTCTGGCGAATCTCATTCCAAGTGAATGAGCAAATGATAAATTATTTCTATATCAGCTTGAAGAATCCTATAAGCTTGTATTCACAATGTACGGTAGTTATTATCAATGAGATCAACTAAAACAAAAAACTGTCTGTGATATTTTACAATTGTTAAGTAAATATATTAATAAACATTCATCATATACCTAAAAATGTTATTTGGTTTTCCAGTTGTTCATTGTATTCATCACATTCCTGTTTCATTCTGGATGATTCTTTCTGAAAATATAATGTGAGTATACAATCAAGTCCATGCTTCTGAAAACAATTAACTAACTGGCTGACTAATCCCATACCCGACATGGACTGGCAACCGGACGAGAGGTCGTGGTTCAGAATACAATTAAGCCGCCTTATCGCCTTTCCTCCCTTTCCCAGGATAAATATGTAAATCCCCAATCCAATCGAGTATTATAGAGAGAACGGAATAAATTATTGAATATTCCATTTGTATCAAATTCTAATATTGTTTACAACAGAAACACACAGCAGAGGCAAACAAGCAGTTTGGCATTGAGCTAGTCATTCAGAATATTATTTCAAAACTTACCAGTAAACTCTCACATTCTGTCAGAAGACTTTTCATTATATCTTGAGCACATTGAGTATGTTGGTGAAATTTTGTTCTTGTTGCAGATCTCGATATACATTCCTCAAAACTATGTTCAAATGTGCAGAATTCAATCAATCTTGCTTGAAATCCTTCAGCTAGCGCACCACCAGCTTCTGGCATTCCTGAAATAATATCATCTAACTTTCTTAAAAGAAATTTTCGATTCTGAGCACCATGTTAATTGTATTAACCAGAACCTTTCATTTTGCCAGATTGTTTATTGGCAAATTTACTTGAAACATTTTAATGATTTCGATGGGACCCTGCAATGAAAATCTCATTATAGTGGGTCTAATAAAATTACAGCATCAAATTTTAACAGAATCATCAGACATACATAGCTATGCTTTATTAAATGAAATTATGCTCAATTCTGACATATCATGTATGATTCATTTAAACATCATCCTATATTACATAGAAAAAATTAAAAACCTTGTAAGCGTTGCAATCTAGCATTAAGGGCTTCTTTTGCAGAAATAAAGAAAACTCTATCTTTAGCTTGCTGTGGGGTAACAACACCTAGTTCTTTTGCCAAAAATGATATTCCACGTTCCAGATGTTGTTGTCTCACCTATATAAATTGCATACAAACTTCAGAATTAACATCTTTCTAAATTGCTGATTTCAAATTTTACGCCTATCAATTCCTATGACATTTTTTGTCCATATTAGGGAAGTGTAATTGCCCATGGTTAGAGCATCAGATTAAACAATATTGTCATTACAGGTTATGCACTGCTTCAAATTGGGTGTAGGCAAAGACAAACAAGAAAGACCCCTGTCCTTTCAAAAAGCAATATACTTTTGCATAAGTGACTGCTAGTACAGAGAATTGTTCAGAAGTGAGGTAAAATATGACTTATATAAACAGAATAGTTGTCATCATGTTTTTAATAAATATTCAACATATCATTTCTGGTCAGGTAGGGCAAGGTGGAGAATCTTTTTCAAATCAGTTTTCCAAGCATTCATAAGATGGAATAAATCATAGACAGAATTTATTTAAAATCTATGCTTTTCAAAACAATTCATATCACTCCTGGGTTTTTGAATCCCTATGGCCGTGGAAAAAAGTGTTAAATTAGCATTTTGTCACCCATAGAGCAGAAAGCTTGTTACACATGATAATTATGTACACACTTACAAATATAGGCTACTAACTATTTTGCTGTTTTCACACCTTCACCTCAAAAAAGGCTTTAGAAAGAATTAGATGATAAAAAATAAGTAGCTACTACTTTTGGGGCTAGAATCTTTTCAGTTGGTCTTGCCTACCTAATTTAATAAATCCTTGGTGAGGTATCAGTGATGGAGGTTGAATCTGAGATTTTTAACCTTTTGCAACTACACAAATCACTAGATCACAAATATGAGGTTATGAATGAAATAGTGAATACTACATTTACTCTGATGAATTAGGTGTTTGACATATTTACAGACATTCCGAATTGCTCAGCTCAAAATAGAAGCTCAAATTATAGATAATTTTGAACATATCAAATGTTACCTGAACCGTAAACAAGATGGAAAACTAATATAACTTCGATCAAGTCCTACCTGTTCCATAAGGTCAGGTTCAGCAGCTGATGCATCCCATCTATTGTTGAGTATAAATATATTAGGCTTCGATAGACGTTCGTTTACTTTATGAAAGAATTTTTTCTCAGCCAACATCAAAGTTGATTCAGCATTTGCAACAAGAATGAAAACATCTGCATGAAGGCAGTAACTGTAAGAAAAATGTTAAGTAGGACATTTCAGACATTAAAAAAAGTATCAATATCACTGACTACATAACATTTACAACTGTAAAATGAATTGCATTGCATTTGTTGTAGAAGAGTCATCAGGAAAAAAATAGAAAAGATGAGTAAAGATACTGTGTCTTTGGATAATAACTAATTCACAAGTTTACAGATTGTGTTTAATTAATTAATGTTTAGTACACAATACAATGGAAAAATTGCTTACGCATCGATCCAACTATCCATATCTTCAGTTACGTCAATACCAGGACTGTCAACCAAAACAACTTCATTTTTCAATAACGAACATTTATTTTTGGGCCAGCATACCTGGAATATGAAATAAATAACAGCGATATAGTAGGAAGTATAACATTAGAAGGACGTTTGATAAAAACAGAAATATTTAATTTCATAAATCATAAACAAACCTTAATCAAACTGTCATTAGACATGCTTTCCTGACTGAGTGCATGTCCTAATTGTGATACGCTTTTAACATTACGCTTCTCCTCTGATCCATCACAAAGTAAATATGGTCCATCTTTGTCATCACATCCTTCTATTGATAAGAAGCAATTGGTCGTATGACCAAGTCCACTCGGCAATATTTTATCCCACAGCATAGCATTTATTACAGTGCTTTTTCCATTGCTAGTTCTTCCGAAGAAAACCACCTATAATTATATTTAAATAAAATATACAAAAAAGTCAGGCTTTTACCTTTTACACAAAAATTAGCAACCATGCTTGGAATGAGAACAGTAATTGACTTATAATTGAAGTTATGATATGACATACAAGAGTATGAATATGTATAATATCTTGTTGTTTCATTTCACAGCTTCATGAGAATAGATAATGTTAGACAAATCACATAATTTATCCTTGAATAAATACCTTCATATGATCTCGGAGTAACATCTCTTTTATTCCATTTACTTTTTGAGCGCATGTTTGAATATGATCTACCAATTCCTGTGAAAAATCGCAAAAACTAAATTAAAAGCAATAAGATTGTAAGAGGGCTAATGAGATGCATCTAGGAATGCAGTCAGGGTAATATACTTCAAACCATGTTCAGTGTTCGTCTCTATGCTCTTGGTGGGGATATTTCAAAGGACTGAGATGATCGTAAACTGAGTTAACTAAACCTATGTCTGTACCGGTATGTACTCAATATAAGAACCAGTTGGAAAACTTACCTGATGCACAAGTTCATTCTCTTCAACATCCTTAATTTCTTCTACAAAAGTATGGAATTCACTGACATAATTTCCTATGTCTCGATAAATCCCATTTATTTTCTTCTTGGCATTAGTGAATAATTTTAATGGTGAAGACGCATCACCTCCGCCGCCAAACCCAGACTTCAACATAATGCCTCAATAAGCAACTGATTTTGGTGATTTCAAATTTAAATGCTACAACAATGGCCTATATACAGATATATAGGCTAAAACAGTCACAAAACACAAGCGGCTATGAAATCCATGAAAGCTGAAGCATGCTAATGCTGTTTTGGTTAATCTGAGTATTTCAAGAGTCCTATTCCCCGACCTTTGACCCCGAAAAAATCTTCCTATACTTTACTCAATGACATTAAACAACATGATGCGCAACTCCGGCATTTTTGTCCGAAGATCGTATTCGATAGCACGCTCCAATGCACATACTTGACGAGACGAAAACGAGCGGATGTGTGCTGCTTTCAAGGCGTAGCACGAATGGTGTTCGTGCCTGCTTTGACAGTTGTTGTCGATTTTAATGATATTTTGGAAAGTTAAGGTAAAAAGAAATCGGAAAAAGGTAAGGTAAATACTATTGTTGTATATCACACCCGGGCATCGCACTGTTAAGTACATGTGGGAAAGTCAGCCTTTGTCAAATACTACGAAGTTATTAATTCAGTACGGTACGTGGTTGCCCATTTGCCGAAATTACATATTTACTTACCCCTTATGGTTTCAAATAGTTCATGCACCTCCAGTTTGATTTTTTTAATCAGTGAGGATATATACTCATTGTTGATTGCTGCTCATTGTAACATACTATTGCGCATTCACTTTTATTTGCGTATTGAATCAAAGTGTTAACAAGTCCACCTAACATTTCACTCATACCGGTCTATATTGTATAGTCTGATCTCTCAAATATTTGGAGCCACGAATGCTTGTAATTTTCTGACTAAACCCTTTTATTAGTTTGTTTTATTGACCAAATTCAGTAAAATATTTTTTACATAAAACATGAGATATTGGATTCATTAGCTTTTCCATTCTAAATCATATAGACTGCTTTATTTATTCTTAACGAAAATTAATAAATCTCCTCTCTTTCTTCAGATGTGAAAGTTGTGGACAAACCTGTCTAAGCATTGTGAGACTCCTGCAGCACAAGAGGCAATAGCAGAAATAGTAAGTATATCAATCAAGAAATTAAGCCGACATAAAGCAAAACTTTCAACTATTCGTCTAATCACAATTTCCTATTATTTATTCACAGGACAACTATAGCAGAAGGGGAGATATCAGAAGTCTGGCGACATATCAGTGACATGCAAAGACACTTGACCCTCCGGTAAAGTTGTGTATGACCCCTACATCCTGCAGGGCTTGAGGAAAATAACTAAAAATTGCAAAGCGTAAAATTACATACTCGGTCTTATTTGTAAAAAGGCACAAAACACGCCAGACACTTAAAACAGCTTTGGAAAATGAGGATTACGGGTAACTCACTGCACCTGTGTTATATTTGGTTCATCAACTTTTGGTAGTACGATAGAAGAAATTCCGGAAGGGGTATAATCATCATTCATGATAAAATACTATCATATATATTTTTGGACAACTTCAATCTAGACCAGAGATCTCAAACTCGCGGCCCCAGAGAACTTCGAGTGCGGCCCTCGAACGCTTAACAATAATTGTAATAGTATTTTTTTTTTTTATCTAAATGTAATAGATTTTTCAAACCTTTTAAAGTGAAATTGATTATTCACACAGAAAACAATTTACTGAAAGTAGTTTTGGAATATGATTTTTTTTTGTCCACATTTTGACCCAATTAAGAATACACATCAAGCTTGCAAAAGAATACTTGAATAAACACTTGAGTGATCAAATTAAACGCAAAGTACATGAAGAAGGTGGCATTTTCGAAGAAAATGGGAGTTGTAACTTTTCTGCTTTTCGCAAAATTCTGAAGCACATTGTTTAATTTGTCATATTTCCATCAATAAAATGAAAAAACACAATAAGCTCAGCAGTCAATATGACAAATTCGAAGACCAACTTCGAACAGAAAATTTCCATGTGTTTGTATATTAATATATTTATACAACGACTTAGTTACTAAAAATCAATATCAATAATAATTCAAGCAATCCTATGCCACGCAATGTGGTGCGAAATGTCTTGTCGAAAAAATCTGTCATTTGTTTTTTTACTGATCTATACATGAAATGATAAAAGTAACTTTTTTGCATTACTGGAATTAATTAAACATTCGCAAAGATCCAGATTAACCCATGATCATGTGGCCTCGTTAGTTAGAGTTGGTACTATAAAATCATCTCGCTATATTAAATACAAAATCGTTGCTAGCAAACCAATTCAGCCACTCGAAATATATTGGCCTTCACAAAGCAATGGAGGCAAAATTGAGAGTTCATGAGCTATGAACATTTGTTCTTTTCTTTGTCTTGAACTTTTCATACTCCACAGCCCCTATTAATTTTTTTTAATTTTAATTACCATGTGATGGTCATACCTATCTTTAACTTGTATTTTCTGTCATGATGTATTATCTCAATGTGCCAAACTATTAATTAGTGTGCATATTTTGCTTCCAGATGACATAAATGTATTGTCTTGTTTATTACCTCAACTTGGAGTATTGACAAGAAAAGGTACCAGTAAATTAGATAAAAAATTTTTTAACTCTTTGGTATAATCAGAATTCACAATCAATAGGAATTATAAACAGCCAACCATCAATGAGAATTATATGCAAAATCACTCATAATAAATTTGTCTAAAATCGGAGGAAGGCAAATAATATAGGTAGTTTCCATCCACACAAGCATTTCAAGAAGACTTGCTCGAGCCAAACTAAATGAGCATCGTCAGGTGGTCGGTAAGGCTGCAAGTTGAATTCAGCCCTGCAACCTACCGCATAGAAAATAATATTAATTAGTGGGCTATGAGCTAAATTCCTAAATTTAAACAAACCTATCTACGATGCATTATGTACCAGCAATGTTACCTACGATTAACTGAATATGTAATATGTCTAATAAATTCACCTACAAAAGCAAGTTCGATAGGTGCAAACTTTGTGTTATGGAATTGTATCACAGCACAGTTTTGTATGACACCCTCTTTAAATGAAACTTCAATGATTAAGCGCAAACATTAAAATTACTAACTTTGAACTTTGTGTCATTATCTGCAAAATGTTCCACACAAATCTTTCCGCTATCGCGTTTGTAATCTTCTCTGATAAAAAAAAACGTCTATGATGTCCAGAATTGCTCTTTACAGCTTGCCTGCCATTCCAGCTTTCCAAGTGAGCAAAACTTCTTAGATATAGAGATTATTTTGTTTCGTTACAGACGCAAAAAGACAGGTACTACACGTAAAAAAGACGCCGAGTAGCAAAAGCGAGCGGAAAACGGACGCGAAAGTCGACGAGAAATATGTGCATTGGAGCGTATCATGAAATACAATCTTTCGCCTGTAGTCTTATGGAGTGACGTCAGAGTTGCCTATCATGTTGTTTAATGTCATTGCTTTACTATTGTAAAATTTTCGGGACTATTTTAAGAGTGCTTTTGCGAGTTGGCGCATGTAAAATGAAGTACCGGTGTGTGCTTCAAACCATCAATATGAATCATCGCATACAACAACATGTTTTTTAAAAGTACCGGTAAAGAATGTAATAATTTTTCTACCCTTGATTTCTATACCGGAGTGTAGAATATTATCCAGAATAAACTCGATATTTCAGAGTACTGTGTTTACTTATAACTAATCCCATACCCGACTTGGAATGGTAACCGGACGAGAGGCCGTGGTTCGCCATATGGATAAGCCGTCTTATCGGCTTTCCTCTCCCCCGGGATAAATATGTAAATCCTATCGTATCCTTCATGAACCAAAAAAACAAAATACATTGTATACACTAGGGGTAGGCCAAAGAAAGATAAAAAAAAAACTACATGAAAGGTCATGAACTCAGGCACTGAATCAAATCAACATAAAATATGCAATATCACTACAAAGAATTTTAGCCTAGCCTATCACAGCTATTTTTACACAAATTTTTTATTATTGAAATTAAATTACAAGAGAGCTACGCCCAAATATATGGACACGTCTGTTCGCAGTACAGTACGGCTTACCGTACCGTCAGATCACAGTCTAAAATATATTCACACCAAGCGAAGCAGTACAGTAGGACACAAAATGGCGTCCGATGTCTGCAGAACGTTTAATGACGTCATAGCAAACAAAAACAAAGCTCACAGAGCTAACAGAAGTATTTAAAATGAATAAAAGTAATAGCCTTCTGGGGAAAAATTTTATCTTCAACCACTGCAAATTTCAAAGCCATTGGTCCAGTATTCGAAGAGAAAAGCGATTTTTTTAAAAATGATGGAGACAAATAATGAAAATAATAACAACAAGAGAACTACACCCAAATATATGAACACGTCTGTTCGCAGTACAGTACGGTTTACCGTACCGTCAGATAAAGTCTAAAAATATATTCACACCAAGCGAAGCAGTACAGTAAGACTTCCAACTTTCGCTAAGGCGGTACGGTAACGTCCCTGCAGAAAAGAAAACCAACATTATTGCAATACTGTACGGTACAGTACTGGTACCGTAGTAAGACAGCGTAAGGAAAAAATCGTAGCAAAGTACCGTAAGGACTTCGTTACGAACCATCGACGTTCGATGGCACGTGATCAAAAAGAAGAGGAGTGTCGGCTATGCGTCCACAGAACGTTCGGTGACGTCATAGCAAACAAAAACAAATCTCACAGAGCTAACAGAAATATTTGAAATAAATAAAAGTAATAGCCTCCTGGAGAATAATTTCATCTTTAACCAGTAAAAATTTCGAAGCAATAGGTCCAGTAATGAAAGAGAAAAGCGGTTTTTTAGATTTTCCACTAGATGTCCAAAAAGTGTCAAAGAACAACAACAACAACAAGACCAACATAATATTGAAACGATCGTTATGTCCACTACGTGTACAATAACAAGAGAGCTACGCCCAAATATGCGGACACGTCGTTCGCAGTACAGTACGGTTTACCGTACCGTCAGATCACAGTCTACAAATTATTCACACCAAGCGAAGCAGTACAGTAGGACACAAAATGGCGTCCGATGTCCACAGAACGTTTAATGACGTCATAGCAAACAAAAACAAATCTCACAGAGCTTACAAGAATATTTAAAATGAATAAAAGTAATAGCCTTCTGGGGAAAATTTTCATCTTCAACCACTAAAAATTTCAAAGCAATTGGTCCAGTAT